CATGTAAATTGCTTGCCAAAAAGATTTAAACATTTTTTTCAAAGGATTTTTCCCAAGACTATCTCCCTCGCCTATCCTGAATTAAGTACAAAATGTGCAAATTCTGAGATTGATTAAACCTATAACAAGTCAAACAAAGTACCAGCTCTTTAGATAAGATTGCTCTCTTGTTTGTTTTGGCAGACACATGAGCTAATAAATGTTTGAATGCAAAAGCGGCATGAGCAGGTGATTCATTCTGTTTTTTAAAATACATCTAAAATACACTTATAAGAGAAAAGGATGCAAATAACTGATGTCTGTTTTTAATCAAAAACAGACAAAGTTTTTCAGCAAAGTCTAATGATACTGATGGTTATTTAGCCATTTACACTGTGTTATTTAGTGATTTAATATCCCTAAACCAGCTTTAATTCAATACATCAAAAATCAATTAATCAATTCAAGAATTCAGGTACAATATTACTGATGGTTAGGTGAACTGAAGAGACAGTCAGTGTAGAAAATGCTGACCGGAGCTCTTATGAAAATAATTTGACACTTTGGTCCACAGTGGCTTTGGTGCCTTGAACATCAGCACTCCAAAACACTTACGTAGACATTTATTGTCTTCAGTGTTCTTCATAACCGTGAAGAAGAGGAGCACAGACAAACACAAGAGAGATATAGAGTGTGAGAAGTATCACTTCAACCTAACTCTTGAAGAAAGCAGATGTGTTTTAGCTAAGTGTCTTTAAGTAGAGGATTTGAAGAAATGTCACCTGTTGTTCATTTTGGACTGCTTATCGCATGCTCAGGTGAGTTTGAAGAACTAATTGAATTCATCTTCAAATTTTTTTCTATGGCTTGTTCATTGATTTGCATTTACTCAATTATTAGAATCGTATTCATCAAATTCTGTTCACAAGTGTTATCTGTTTTTTGTGGTTCAGTTCTTGTTGGGTGCAGCAGCATTAACAAGGGGCAATGGAAGAGCATGCTGGAGAGAAAAAAGCTGAACCTTCCCGAAGAATTCAAAATTAATCATGAACTGAACATAGAGGTAAACTGATGCACAATGTAATGCAATAAATTAAAAGTTAATTGTACAAAGTTTCCCTTGCATTTCTCACATTTGAACTATCCTCAGAACTCTGAGATGAATGCCATTATGTGTTGGGTTTGCAAGAAGTCAATTCATCAGATCAAGGGTGTGATTCTTCATGAGATTAAAAAGGTGAACTAAAACTCTTTCTTCTACAATTCTTTCTTCTATATTTTGCCTGCGCAATCTTTAATTAAATGTGTTTCTTTCAGGAAATACAGGCAGTGTGCAAAGCAATGAAAATTCTTGAACACATCTGTGAGCACAATGCTTACAAATACCAATTCATGATACTTCATCTACTGTTTCCTGGTAATAGCAAACAAACCTGTCACCATTTGAGCATGTGTAAATAAATGTATTGCTCTGTTGTGATGAACCAAATTATTTTCCACATAAATCAGCCTGTCTGTTTGATGTTGCTATAGCCTATTTTTTCCAGTGCAGTCAATGCAGTGTTGTTTTTATTGTGTGAATGATATGCTGTCTAAACAATCATAAGCAAAATCTAATAACCAACAAAGATTTAATAAATTTGTTTATTGGATTATTTACTGCTGCACGTTTATATTTTGTTCACTAACCACTTGAATGATAAAACTCGAGTTTTATTTGCATTTGCTGAAAAATATTTTTATAAGTAAAACAGTTTTTATTTTTTAAATAGGACATGTAGGACTAATCCTGCGTTCACGCCATATGTATTCATAAGTGTTCCGACCTCTGACTGAAGAATATTTGACCATGTGACTGCTGACATAGTTCGCGCTCTGCCCAAGGGAGAGGAAGTTCACGTGCGCGCTCACGCGAATAGCGTGACGTCCAGTTTGAAATATTTAACATTTTGATTTTAAGTCACCTTTAAAATTATCGTTAATGTTATACACATCAGCTAAACTTAAATCTTACATTCTCCAGCAGTCGATCTAAACACCTCTGGGAGAGCGCGTGGAATTATGCGCGTGTCATAATTACCAAGTCGCGGTTTTTTAAACTGAGGTAAATCTTGTTTACAGTGAACAAAACTCGCTCATATAGGGCTAAACAATATCATAACCACATGAAGTTCAGCATGTAAGCATTTAAGCTTAAAATTGAGTTATATAGGAGTGCTAGGAGTAATTTTTATCGTTATTTAGGTGATAGATTTGAAGACGCAATGTTAAATTGCATTTAGAATATATCTGGTATTATAAACAAACAGGAATAACAAATAAATAACGCATGTCTTCTATACTAAAATAAATAACAAATAATTATTTAATTATAATATGTACACAGTGGCAGTTCTGTAATATCGGCTGATTTAATCATTGAAATATGATTAAACTGAGCCGACCGTGGGCAGAAAGCGCCCCGTCTGGAGCTGCTCACAGTCTGCAGATCCGGCGGGGTCAGCGGAGATCGAGGCCGAACCCAGCGGCTCGGAACCAGGCAGACTCATCTCAGCAGCCGCGCAGAAAGACCCCCGGGCCGACCCTGCTGATCCAGAGGCAGGAGATGGCCGCCTTCTTCAGACTGTTCGGTGGGGTCAGCAGAACAGCTGCCAGCCTTATAAACTAAACATCACCTTATGTATCCCATAACAAAACAGTAAACTGGTTCACTTTTACACCAATTTTTTTTTGCTAGCTTAATCCAGAAATATCAAGATATATATCTAGATATAATTCTGTAGAATAAAACCTTTTTGATTTGTTGTGTGGCTCAGATGATGATCTAATACAGGACTTTATGTGGATGGACTGCTGCTGTAAACTTACAGACAAGGTAGCAAGACATTTTCGTGTATTTAATATTTAGTGGTTTTATGATTGTGGTCAGTTTTGAATTTAGAATATAGGCAGCTGTGTCTCTAATCTCAGTTCTCTATGTCTTTATTTCATATAGTATTTGTTGGCTATGACATTTGTGTACTTCAGGAGGGCTCGCTTCAGTATCACTGAACACAGCAGAATGAACTTCTTCCTTGCCCTGTGAGTTGATCGTTCTGTGTTCTGTACACTGCAAAAAAAAAGAGAAAAAAGTTACATTTATGGTTAAAATCTGGCAGCTGTGGTTGCCAGAAATTCACTGTAAAAAAACAGTGTTTCAAGTTTTACTGACTGTCTGTATGTTTTACAACTTCACACACAAACACAAAACACCATCGGAGTAACATGTGACACTTAAAACAAGGCTAAAAAATAACACAAAACACCCTACATTACTAATAACAAAAATATGAACAAAACTATTTTTATAAAAATATAATCATATGTGATGTGTCATGCAAGGGCACATTCTTTTTAGTTTTTCACTTAATTTTATGGTAATTCATAATTATTTACTAATATGATAGTATTTAAATTACAATTACATATAATGTGATATTAAACCATTTACAATTTTTCACTGTATGTGGTGCGGTAACTTGGAGTTAATCAATGAACAGATTTTTACAGTATTTTTCTATATTTACAATGTATAGGGGTTGCACATGGTTTTGGAGATGTTCATTTTAAAGTTCTTCAGTTGAACTGCAATATGTTATGAGCGTGACAGAAAAGTCCTATTTATGAATACAGCCTTAATTCCTACAGTCCAAGTGCTCAATTTTTCATACACTAGTTATCTGGCAAACACTATGGAAGAGGATGAGGAGGAAACCAAATATGAGATCTTCCCCTGGGCTCTGGGAAAGAGCTGGAGGAAACATTTCCCACGATTCCTAAAGCAAAGAGACCAGTTGTGGGCACGCATAGAGTACAGAGCGGCTGTCAGCAGACGATGCTGTGAGGAGGTACGCAGTTCATTAAATATGCACTATAAAGGATTTCAGAGGTGGCAGGTTCTGAAAAAATAGCTCTAAAGTCAAGTTGCGCTTGATGCATGATTTCAGGTTATGGCTATTGTGCCATCTCACTTCATCTGGCAGCGTGAGCGTGCAGAGCATCACAGTGGAGCTCAGAGACTGTACCAAAACCGTGAGGAGATCCTCATTCCCCGAGGGCCCTCTGCTTCCCCAGAGCCTTGTTTTCTCTGTGCCAAGACCTCTGCTCGTCCTATGCCTCGTCCATCCTCTACTGGAGCCCGCTCTTCATCTGTGCCACTGAAGGCCACTGCACACAAGGCCCAAGCTTCACACAGGCCCAGTAAGATGCCCAAAGCTCAGCACACCTGTAATTGTATGACTAAATCAGGTGAATGAGTGTATGGTGCCCTCTTGTGGTGTTACAAGAAATTTTACCTTGGCCTCAGCTGAAATTGTTTCATGTGATCCATACCAGTGCCTCTAGAAATATTTACCATTGGCTTTTCTACCCTTTTTTTTTTTTTACAGGTACATTTACAGGAAGTGATGCATGTCAAGATCATTCAATGGACTGGATTAGTGAGGAGTAGCTTGATTACAACATTAAGCAGATCATATATGCCTGTTGACCATATCAGATGCACTTCACTTGTCTGAGGGCCAGAACAGAGTGTCTCTAAACTGACCTTATGAGAAATGTACAGCATTGGTGTGAATAGGGTAATAGTCATGTACATTGTTCTTATAAGTTGTAAAAAATGTCAGAAAATACGATGTGACATGTATTTTACTGTATCATAATCCTCATCACTATTTATTCCTTATTGTTGTACAAAGTACTTTGATATTTCTTTGGTGAGCACTTTGTTACTCTCTTATGTCTTAGACGTAAGTGTGAATGAAATGTTTAGATGTTAAACATGGCAGGATTAAGTCTGTCTTAAATAAGTATAATATTTGGCTGATATAAATATAAATAAACACCTATGAAATCTAGTCCATGAATGGAGCAGATAGGTTCAATATATTTTGGCTTAAATACTCAAGAGCATGAAAGGAAAATGTGCAATAAAGTATAGTCTTTTTATTGTACAAGTTTATTGATACAGCATATAAGACACAGTAGCTTTGCTGTCTTCTTGCACAGACATTAAATGTGGAACATCTATTTCAAGATCTTTCGTAGTTTTACGAGGAAGGCTGAAAAGAAACATTAAAATCAGACATTAATAGGATTCTTAAAAATACCTTCATGCACAATTACATACAAAGTGCTTAAAAAGGTTTAGCATTACTAGTGTCTATCATTGAACTACACACAAAAATGAAGAGCTGACTCACCTGTATGGCCAGTCTGTTCAGGATGAGGACGTGCAATGTATGGGACATCTCCAAACGGCACTGGATCTTGACAATTCAAATCCCCTTAAATAGAGCATGATTTAAATCTACCTGAATGATTTGCACTGATGTTAGGATTTTTGTGTAATAAACAACACTCTATCTGTCTCCTTTATGAAGAAAAACAAAAATTGAGCACAATGTAAACATTAGATGAATGACCAAGTTATGAAGTCACCTTTCGTGTCTTCATTTGGTTCACTTTCGTCATCATCATCATCTTCATGAGGAGCTTTTCGTTTGTTAAATGTACCATCTTTTTTGAGTGACGGGCCAACAAGCCAGTCCCTGTACTGAACCTCAACAATGCGTTCACACACCAGAGGAAGGGCAGAGCATCGCAGTCCCTCCATCAGATCAATGACCTGTGTGATACTGGTGACAGAGTCAGGAAAAAGGATTTTTTTTTTTATTCAGCAAGGGTGCATTAAATTGTTCAAAAGGAACAGTCAAAACATTTACAGTGTTACAAAAAATTTCTATTTCAAATTCATGCTTTTCTTTTAAACTTTTTATACATAAAAGATAAAAATGTATCATGATTTCAACATTGGTAGTAATAAGAGATTTTTCTTAAGCACCAAATCAGCGTATTAGAATGATTTCTGAGGGTTCATGTGACACTAGACTGAAGCAATGATGCTGAATATTCAGCTTTGCAAAATATATTAATATTTTTGACTATTATTTTTTATTAAAAAATTTAGCCTTGTTGAGCATAAGAGACTTCTTTCAAAAACATAAAAAACTTATCGACCCCACACTTAAATGGTAGTGTACAGGTGCATCTCAATAAATTAGATGTCGTGGAAAAGTTAATTTATTTCAGTAATTCAACTCAAATTGTGAAACTCATGTATTAAATAAATTGAATGCACACAGCCTGAAGTAGTTTAAGTCTTTGGTTCTTTTAATTGTGATGATTTTGACTCACATTTAACAAAAACCCACCAATTCACTATCTCAACAAATTAGAATATGGTGACATGCCAATCAGCTAATCAACTCAAAACACCTGCAAAGGTTTCCTGAGCCTTCAAAATGGTCTCTCAGTTTGGTTCACTAGGCTACACAATCATGGGGAAGACTGATGATCTGACAGTTGTATGGCCACTTAGGAACCTTAAGTGCAGCAGACATTTTTTTGTAACCTTGGTCAGATCTGTGCCTTGCCACAATTCTGTCTCGGAGCTCTTCAGGCAGTGCCGTTGACCTCATGATTCTCATTTGCTCTGACATGCACTGTGAGCTGTAAGGTCTTATATAGACAGGTGTGTGGCTTTCCTAATCAAGTCCAATCAGTATAATCAAACACAGCTGGACTCAAATGAAGGTGTAGAACCATCTCAAGGATGATCAGAAGAAATGGACAGCACCTGAGTTAAATATATGAGTGTCACAGCAAAGGGTCTGAATACTTAGGACCATGTGATATTTCAGTTTTTCTTTTTTAATAAATCTGCAAAAATGTCAACAATTCTGTTTTTAATTAATAACAAATATATTTTTCTGTCAATATGGGGTGCTGTGTGTACATTAATGAGGAAAAAAAATTAACTTAAATGATTTTAGAAAATGGCTGCAATATAACAAAGAGTGAAAAATTTCAGGGGGTCTGAATACTTTCCGTACCCACTGTATATGGTTTACACTGATGTTTTGTGTATGTACAGATTTTTGCATTACTTTGCTTGATAAACAGCACACACAGATCCAGGATGGAGGTGAGGAACCACAGCAGGTAAAGCCAAATGTGGATTAACCATATCCAGAGCAACCTAACACACAAAACGTCTTTCATATACAGACAAGCAAATGATTCTGATATAATATATAATAATAAAAATATAAAAAAACATCACAGCACGTGGCTCCTCACCGAGTTGAAACCTCGCCCTGCCAGAAGAGGTCCGGCAGATATGAGATCTCCATGGTGAAAGTGAACATTATCAGGCCATTCCTCTCCTTGCCGAAGACTCCACGAGGACCGCCAACGCTGGTAGTTTAATACAGCACATCTGTGATGGTCCTCTCTTATCTCCACACTCAAAATACTTCCTTTATAACCCACTGATGACACAGACATACATGAATGCAGAGTGATTATCGCAATAGCACACTTGTAACATAATTGTGCAGGACAATATCACCCATAAACTCATAATCAGGTGACTCATTATTATATTGCGGTTTATGAATACATAGAAGACAGCAGAAGAATCACACACCTGCCCTGGACAGGAAGAGGCTCATGGCACCAGATCCAGAGCCTGATTCCAGAACACAATCTCCTTCAGTCACATCCATCATGGTCAACATCGCACTAGCATCCTGCAAAGGAACGAGATCCAAGAGACTCTTTTGTTTTCGTTTTCATAAAGCAATAAAGGATAAAAGTAAAATGTAACCATCAAGTAATAGTAATCTTTTTCTCCCTACACCTTAAATGTATGTACATAATATGAAATATAACTACAATTTAATATAACTGTCTTCTATTTCAATGTGTTTAACATTTTTTATTTATTTTATGTAAATATAAGCTGAATTTTCAGCAGTCATTACTCCAGTCTGGATTGTCACATGATCCTTCAGAAATCATTCTAATATGCTGGTTTGATGCTCAAGTAACATTTCTTACTGTTAAAAGTAACATTTGCTTAATAGTTTTGTGAAAACCATAATGCCTTTTTAATAGAAAGTTCAAAAGAGCATTTATTTAACATATATTTTTTGTAACAATTTAAAATGCTTTACTATCACTTTTAATCATCACTGGCGAGTAAAATTATTTAAAAAATACTATGTGTAATCATTTTTAAAAAGATTTTAAATACATTTTCCAAGTTATTTTACAAATACGATTAATTATGAATTCATATACATCAAAATATTTCGTGAGTTTCCCACCATGTGACATTTTACAACTGGAACTAAACAAAACAAATACCAAAATTAATTTATTATAGAAAGTGAACACATGTTCATTATAGAAAAGGTGTGTTTAAGTCATTGCATGTATGAATTGCATTTTTAATGGATTTTCAAATAAATTACCAGATTTAATAAGCATCACGTCTTTGACCTGCATGATAAGAGTGCAGAAGCTACTGATTCATTGATGTGTAGATGACTGACTGCTGTTTTATGATGTTTATTTCTTACTTTAGGGTATGCAATAGCTGGCCCTCTCTTCATGAAGAGAGTGAACTCATCCAGACTGGATCGACGAATGACAATCGGGATTCCCATTGAAGTGCGTATGACGCTTCCAGCAGGTCGCCCCTCCATGTCATTATGAGCTATTAATCCCCAATTGCTATGGAGCTTCAGTCCTTCCTTTAGCTGGAACATCTTCCGAAACTCTAAACGTCTCTTTCGACTGAACTCGGCCAGCAGAGTCTCTCCAAAACATAGTGGCCTTTCCCCAGGAACACACACATGATGTGGAGCAAAAGATCCTTGAGGTTCCTGTATAGCTTCTTCTCGCTCCTTCCCCAGACTCTGACTGTCCTGTTCCACCTCAGTGTTTCTAGTGTCCCGTAGAGCCCAAACCTCTGGACTTAATGTGTCTTCAGGCAGAAGCTGACTGACCCTCTCCAGTGGGGACAGAGGTCGACGCCTTCCAAACACAGAAGCTCTTCGGGAGAACTGTGGGGAAGTGGATGCAGGAGCATTTGAACTACTGTCCTCTCTGTCAGAATCATTTGGACCAGTCCCAAAGTTTCTCAGAGCACAGAGAAATGGTTTATTGCGAACCACATTATGTCTCTTCAAACATATGACACAGGCAAATTTACGAGTCATGAATGAGAGACCCAAATGTAGAGGAACTGTCATGGTTTTTAGCTCAACAGAGAATGACTGGAAGGATGAAGATGACACAATTTGATGGTTTGGTTCTTCTCACCACACAGTGATCAGAAACATCACACACAGCAGCTACTTGAGCGCTTCTACACTGACCAGAATATACATATTGGCAGAAACAGACAAAACATGCATATAATTCACTACAAATCACCTCTATTCAATAACCTTTGTTAAATATAAAGTCAAACAAATTTGTGGTAAATAGATTATTTCAAGCAACCTGTCATAATACCTAAGTAATTCGATATATATTTATTTACTGGCTAAATACTAGTTTAAGAGGCAACTTAGCTTGAGTCCATTATGTTAGAAGAAAAACTATTTATCAGCGCAAGCATGATTCTCGCTGGGCGCCGCCATGATGGAAAGGAAGTCACTAACAGATGCAGTACTACCCGGACACCGGTAGATGGTTTCTTTCTTTGTTTTCATTAGTACAATAATAAACTTGACAAATAGCGTTCAGACTTTTCTGTTATTTACCTGATTCAGTTTCCCTTACGATATATATACATCGTTAAAGGAGAAAATATAGCTATTTATGAGGCTTAAATGATTAGTCTAGGGCATTATTTTATTATATAATATTAAAACATAATTAAAAATAATTAATTAAAATAAAAATCTTTTGCAAAAACAAACTAATGATTGAACACTTTTAAAAGACATTTGTTATATTTAAATAAAATAAATTAGGCTTTTTAAAAGAAAATAGCCTATGTTCTTAGGGGTCAGAGTAATAATGAGGGAGTCTTGAAGCATCTTTAAGGTGTGCCAAATAACTTAAACAAGGTTTAATAGACATTAACTTTTACAATACAATTTATAATAGAAAGCCAGTGTTAAAACAACACCTGAATTATTTTTAAATATACATGAAGAGATATATAATTTTTTAAGTTTTAAATATACATTAAGATATATGACCCACGGTGTCTTTCGAATAAATAACAGGTAACGTTACAAAAGATGTGCACCTGTTTCCAGTAAATGTTACAGAATTGACATTTTGTGAGTTTTTACATTTATTTTTAATTTAATGTTTTACTGTGATAGTAGATACAAAATGGTACGGTAGTCCAAAATGCAGCGGCTAGAGTCCTTACCAGGTCAAAAAAATATGATCATATTACCCCAATTTTACAGTCTCTGCACTGGCTACCTATTAAGTTCCGTATCAGTTACTAAATATTATTACTTGCCTATAAGGCCCTTAATGGGTTAGCTCCTGCGTACCTAACTAGTCTTCTACCACGCTACAATCCATCACGCTGCCTGAGGTCGCAAAACTCTGGACTTTTGGTAGTACCTAGGATAGCAAAGTCCACTAAAGGAGGTAGAGCTTTTTCACATTTGGCTCCCAAACTCTGGAATAGCCTTCCTGATAACGTTCGGGGTTCAGACACACTCTCTCTGTTTAAATCTAGATTAAAGACACATCTTACATATAATGGCACATAAAAAGTGGAGTCTATTTAGTTGAAGTAATAGTACTTAAATACTAAAACGTATTTACTTCAGATATGCATTTGATAACTGCCAAAGATAATTGTCACTTTCTTCTTCTTGAAATTTTATTGGCGGTTGACAAACAACAAAATGGTGTATTTCTGCCACCAACTGGTATGGAGTGTGGATCAAAATGACTTTTTTTTGTTTTTGTTTTTTTTATTCTCTCCCACAAATTAGTTATTTTAAGGAACTGAAAAATAAAACTATAGCATTCATTCCTTGAGTTATTTTGTAAAATATATCTCGGTGTAAATTGCATTTTTATTTTTTCTAAATTTTGCATTAATCCTTCTTTCAGTCTCATATTTCTGACAGTACAATATAACATGTTCCACTGTTTCTTCTTGTCCACAAAATTCACACCTTCCCGTATCATGTTTACCCATTTTAAAAAGTGTACTATTTAATCTTGTGTCCAAATCTCCTCCTAGATATTACTATCTCATCTCTCCCACTTTCCTTTGAATTCTGTAAAACCACCGACCTTTTTTCTCCTTATCCCATTGTTTTTGCCACCTTTCCTTCAGTCTTTTCTTCATAATACTCTTGATTACATTTTCACATTCAAATTCCACTAGATAACAAAACTCGAGCATAAAGCTTCCGCATCCGTCAGTGATTGGTTAATGATAATAATGGCACGCCCTCTGAACCCAACGCGGCCAATTAGCGTTTCCGCTGCGCCTGTGCAGCTGCGCATGCGCGCTGTCCAATTTTCTCTCACACGTGTTTCCCGTGGAGCAGACGGACACACGCGGAATGGTAAGATGGCGGCGGATGGAGGCCGAGCTGTGCTACCCTGCTCCTTCAGACCTAAATCACAGCAGTTCCTGGCTCTCTGCGCACAGGACGGGCGACTGCGCATCTGGAACACCGACAGCAAAACTCTGCAACAGGAATACGTGCCTTCCGCGCACCTGAGCGCAGCCTGTACCTGTGTGACATGGGGACCGTGCCGAGCTGTTCAGGTAACTTAGCGCACAGTGTTCGGGGGCAGGCGGGGATGCGGCCTGGTAACGCAGTGCATCATTGTAGGGCCTTCGGGTCGCTTTAGCTCTGTATTTATCCTGAATGTGATCATAAAACTTAACACGGATTGTTTAGGAATATCTATTTTGGGTTCTTCAGAGCTGAGCTCGTGGAGCGCGCTGCGCACATGTTGCATGTGGCACATGTTCAGACACAGGCCGCGAAACCCGCAGATCCATCACGAAATTCATCATTAAAACCTGTAAAATCAATACACTAATGTCAAAAGTGCGGCTGCATGCGCATTTTGTGGTTAATATTGTTATATTCGTCTATTGGTTGTCGGTGGCTAATAACGTAGGCAGATTAAGTTGATGTGGGCTAAAGTGATGATTCTGTGTAAGTTTTTTAAAAACTCAATCATGTCAACATGTCTGTAAGTATGATGCTAATCTTTGTGGTTTTATTAATAATCAGTGTTGTATTTATATTTAACGCTACTTTAGAAAACACATGGTCACATAATGGCTGCTCGACCCTTACACAACTTGTTGCTCTTTAGTTAAGTGCCTATCAAAGATTAAGCTACAGACTTTATCTTTATATATATATATATATATATATATATATATAAATAAATAAATAACACGCAGAACGTCGTTGATTCTGGATAGTGTTGGAGAAAGTTGGGCATAAACAGCTTTGACAAGTCATTCTTCCATTGTTACTAGTAACATGGCAAACGTTTTGCTTGGAATTATTTTCTGTTTGTGATTCTGATATCAAACTTTAACTTGGCACTAATGTTTTCCCGTTGGTCTGGTATTTGCTTTGCTGTTCATTCGCTGTTAGTTGTAGGCCTACTTGTAACTACAAATAGTTATTTATCTGTTTCAGTTTTCATAGGGAAAACTGAATGGAAGCTAGTAATTATTTAATAGACTAACTGTTTACTGTAAGCTAGAGATCAGTATTAATACTTGTAGTATTAATTTACTTGTAAAATTGGAAAAGGTACCATAAACGGATGGAATAGTTGACTATTATAGACTACAGATCCCAGTAATAAATGGCAAGAATTTTTCACCAGTAACAAAGTGTTTTTATTTTTATGTAGCAGTATGCTATGAATAATTAAAAAGTGAAACTTAAAAACAGATAATAGTAAGTTTTAGGTGTGTTTTAAAATAGCTCTCAATAAGTGATGTGCATTAAAGTCTTATTAATGGAAATGACTGAAAATGTTTGACAGAATGAATAAGAAATGTATAATTTTTCATGAATCTTTCTGTAGGACTTAAAAGGCAGCATGAGTTGTTTTACAATGATGATTTTTTTCTTTGTGTGTGCTTTAGGAGGTGCCACAGAGGAAGAGGAGGAAATGTGAGGCCGGGTCAGCACCAGAGCAGTCAGATCTGTTGGCTCTGGGCACTGCTGCTGGGTCCGTCCTCATCTACAGTACAGTGAAGGGAGACCTGCATTGCACTCTGGTACGAATTCATCACCAACAGCTGGTCCTTATGATATTCGACTGATGCAACTCAAAAATTTAAGGGGTTTTACGTAAATTTGTTGCAAAACAGTTTACTTGAAATTGGCAAGCAAACTGGCACACATTACCAAGTCACTTCTATAGTGACTTCTGATAATACAGGTGAAATTAGGAATGTTAATGATGTCTTAACCTGTCAGGAGGGAGGTCACAGTGGACCGGTGAACAGCGTTCAGTGGCATCCAGAGGACTCAGTGTTATACAGCGGCTCAGATGACACACACATAGCTGAGTGGGACCTGCAGACAGGAAAAGTTCGTTGGTGAGTCTGTGCAGCTGTGTGTTGGATTTTTGGCTAATATGGATACATTATTCAACATAGTGAAGTTGTATTTAGGCATGCACCAAAATGAAAATTCTTGGCCGAAGCTGAACAAAATTAAATACTGGGCCGAAGACTGAATACCAAACATGTTTTTTCAAAATTTTTCCCCCCATGTAGGCCTATTTTGCCATTATTTCACAATTGCATAAATTAAATAGCCAAAATGTGCTTTTTACTATTTTGTCCTGCTTTTCAAATAAAAAAAATCAATTACAAAACAACAATTAAAAAATATTTACTGAACTAGGCCTGGGCGATAAAACTGTATCGCTATTTATCGATGGTACACCCTCTTCGATAACGATAGAACATTTTTTCGATATAGCGCATGATATAGGCACGTGCTATGAGTGACGCAGACTGCACACACAAACACGAACACATGCTGAATTGAGTGCTGTGCCTGCCTGTGATGAGGAGATTGTGAATAAAAAATAGTGGAGCGTGAGATGCGGTGATGTAAGTGACGTTGTTGCATTTTAATGTTTTATAAGTCTAGCCCACAAGACGCGCAGTTGCTGCGCTTTTCATTCAAAATATTAGAGAAATATAGTAGCTCAATGCGTAGAAGATCTTGATTAGGTTAAAACCAAGCCATTCACACACAACGCATATTCATCTCATTTTTTAGACTGACAAGTACGACTGCTGCTCTCACGTAGGGCTGTCGCGATAACCGCAATATCGCAATACCGCTATTGACGAGCAAACCGCAGAGGAATGCAAGAACTGTGGCAACCGCGATTTATTCGTGTTTTCTTTCGTAAAGTTATGCCCTTCTCGTTTTACACTTCATGCAAGTGGGCTGAATATTAAACTTCAAGTAAAAAGTTAGTAATATGACATAATGTGTACCATGCTGATTTGTAGATTTGCACTTAAGCCTAAACAGACAGTGAATGAGAGAGAGATCGACTGAGCGCGTGCCATTACTTGCGTCTGTCCTCCAGGCAGAGTCATATATATTTGTGAAAATAGGTTGTCATGTTCAAGGAAAGCGAAATC